GATCTTTATAAAGTTTGAGACGCCCTGCCAAATAGCTACTTCTTGTGGTCGTGCATCATTATTGGTTACCTGATCACTGCTGTACAAAGATTTTCTGTCCAGGCTTTTGCTTTTTGTTTGTATTAATTTCATTACTGAACTCAACACCTTTTTTTTCGAAACTAACTCAAAAGATTTGATTAACCAATATTATTGTATTGGTAGATATCTCTCTTTGCTTGGACCATTCTATTGTCCTTATTTCCGTTTTTCAACGTCGACCATTTTATCGTGTAAGACTTGGACTAAGAAATGGATAATTATCGTTTAATCGACCTAATTTCTCCGTTACCATATAAAACCTTATTTTGTAAGTCCTAAACGTAGAACAAGCAGATTGATCCCTCCCATCCAAATGAGTTTTGTGCTAGCAACGTTTTGATGGCTCCTTGAAAAAAACATTGAACATTGGATTTGATTTTTGATTATGAGTGTCGGCCATGTTCTGATTTAAACATAACAAAAATGTCAAAACAAACAATCAAACGTAAAGGAGTGTGGAGACATACACAGTGGGGTCCACTCTCAAGTTCATTCACGTGAGAGACCGTTTTGTTTTAGTTTATGAGTAAATCCGATCATTGACTGTTGAGTTGAGTCTCTGTTTGTTTCCGCTCATCTCTTGTGATTTTGTGGATTCATCAGAATGTTAATGGCCACCGCCGCTAGATTCTCCGAAATCAGCAGCACAAGCGGTTTCTTCGCCGAGTCATCTCCGCCGGAGGAAGTTTCGGCGCTGCAACTGCTCTCCAACAGCCTCGAGTCCGTGTTCCTTTCGCCGGAAACGTTCTACAGTGACGCCAAACTAGTTCTCTCCAGCGGCCGTGAGGTATCTTTCCACCGCTGCGTTCTCTCGGCGAGAATACCCATCTTCAAGACGGCCTTAGCCACCGCCGTAAAGGGCAAAGAATCCACCACCGTGAAGCTCGACCTGAAGGAGATCGCTAGTGATTACCAAGTCGGATTCGATTCAGTGGTGACTGTTTTGGCGTACGTCTACAGCGGCAGAGTGAGACAGCCGCCGAAAGGAGCTTCTGATTGCGTAGACGACGGTTGCTGCCACGTGGCTTGCCGACCGGCGGTTGATTTCATGGTGGAGCTTCTCTATTTGGCTTTCGTTTTCCAGATTCCGGAGTTAGTTACTCTGTTTGAGGTAAAGCCATTAAAGTGATTTTATCAATCTCCAATTTGATTCATCCTCATGATCTTAATTCTTAAGTCTACTCTATTTGCAATTCAGAGGCATTTCATGGATATTGTACACAAAATTGACATACAAGACATTTTGGTCATATTCAAGCTTGCTAATATCTGTGGTCAAGCATACAAGAAGCTTTTCGATAGATGTATAGAGATTATTGTCAAGTCTGATATAGAACTAGTTAGTCTTGACAAGTCTTTGCCCCAACACGTTGTTAAACAAATCACCGAGATCCGCAAACAGCTCGGTCTAGAGCTACCTGAACCGGATAAACATGTCACGAATATACACAAGGCACTCGACTCAGATGATGTTGAGCTTGTCAAGATGCTTTTGACAGAGGGACACACCAATCTAGATGACGCGTATGGTCTGCATTATGCTGTTGCGCATTGCGATGTGAAAACCGCATCGGATCTCATAGACTTGGAGCTTGCGGATGTCAATTATAGAAATCCAAGAGGACACACGGTGCTTCAAGTTGCTGCGATGCGGAACGAGCCAAAGCTGATAGTATATCTATTAACAAAAGGAGCAAATGCATCAGAGACAACATTTGATGGTAGAACCGCTCTCGTGATTGCGAAACGACTCACTAAAGCGGCTGACTATTATACTAGTACAGAGCAAGGCAAACCTTCTCTGAAAGGCGGATTGTGCATAGAGGTACTAGAGCATGCACGCAAACTAGATCCGTTTCCTAGGGAAGCTCCACCTTCTCTTCCAGCGACTCCCGATGAACTGAGGATGAGATTGTTGTATCTAGAAAACAGAGGAATATTTTCCTCCGTTATTTGCCAATCGAATTCCGTGATGCTCTCATGATAACTACATTCTGCTTTTCAGTTGCGTTGGCTCGAATTCTCTTTCCACTGGAAGCACAAGTTGTAATGGATATTACCAAACTGGAGGAAACATGCGAGTTTACAGCTTCTAGTCTCGAGCCTGATCATCACACTGTTTCAAAGAGGACATCACTGGACCTAAACATGGCACCTTTTCTAATCCAAGAGGAGCATTTGTGTAGACTAGGAGCGCTTATTAAAACTGGTATCAATTGATTTGTACTTGTTTCGCCTCTTTTTATAACACGAAAGAAGAAATACTAAATGTTGTCTTTCTTTTTAAAATTTTTTGTTTTTTGTATCATCAGTGAAACTGGGAAACCGCTACTTCCCACGATGTTCGCTTGATCACTTTATGGACACCGAGGACTTGAATCATCTGGCTTGCGTAGAAGAAGACACTCCTGAGAAACGGCTACAGAAGAAGCGAAGGTACATGGAACTACAAGAGAGTCTAATGAAGACCTTTAGTGAGGACAAGGAGGAATTTGGTAAGCCTTCCACATCGAACTCAATGAAGTCTAATCGTAAACTCTCTCATCGGCGCCTAAGGGTAGACAAACGAGAATTCCAGACCTTGGGGAAACGGGAAAGGAGATTCGGCAATGACAAATCAATAAATCATATCCCATTAAACTCAGGCATCAAAAGTGATGTCTCATATCCAAATTAAATTGTAATGGGATGAGATTTTAGTCCACCTCTATGGGCACAGTGAGACTCTTGGGGTCAATTAATTTTGTTGTAACACTTGTGTATATATCTGTTATTGTATTTACAACCCA